CCCTACACCCTTCAGCCTCTCCTGCTGAGATTCCCCTGCGATCTCTTGATTCCAACAGGGGGGCGCTCTTTTTAGAAAACCAAAATCACCACAGAGCTGGTGTTAAAACTGTGCATTGGCAATAGTGCATCAGTAAAGTATGCAGAAATGACATAGGAATGAGAAGCTGCATTTTTTCTGTTGTAGAACAGCATGCTTTGAGAACAGACACTCTTTTTTTAATGATCTTCTGTATTGAATGTTTTTGAACTGAAGGGGCAGTATATTTTTCTCTAACAAATGGATGCAAAGGAGCACAACTTTTCCTTACTCAGTGGGTTTGACCCTTGGGTGCCTGGATTTTCTTGGCATCATTTTTGTTGCTGCCAGTGGTTTGCACCTCTAGATGCCTAGCAATGAAATGGTGTTGCTGACGCACAGGTGAGGTGCTGTGTATTCTTTTTCCTTTTGATTCTAGAATTTCAAGCCCCAGTGGGAGAAGATATAATTGGGAAGTTGTTCGGTTTGGATGTTATCAGCCGATGGATATTGGCAGAGGCGTTAGTATGTGCAGAGATACAGCAGGCAGAAAGGCAGATGCTGGGGCTGCTAATGCCTCAAATGAAGTCAGTAGATGGGGACTTTGACAGCAAACCTAAATGTGATGTAGTTTCGCACTTCCCTGCTGTACAGTGTACATGATCTGTCTGAATTGGAAGGGAGCAATTCAAACTCAGTCAGAAAATCTGCTTCGCTATGAGGCCATCACAGTATTTAGGTTCTTTAATAAAAAACATCTTGTTGTCATTAACGGCAGCCTCAGTGAATCTAACATCTTTGCTGGGTTTGCATGGAATCATCTTTGAGGTTATGTAGTCAGCTAAATGACTTGTTCTGAAACTATATATCAAGGCACAAAATTGAATTCAGTGGATTTTAATTGAATGAGAAGATTTGAATGTTGAAGTGGAAATAAGCAACTACATAAGCAGATAGTTTCAAATACATTGGTGAATATCCTCACTGCCTTGTATTCTTCTGTGTGTGACACACCTATGAAGATAACAGATCCAGACTGTTAGTGGCCTTTGCCCACTGTCACACTCTTCCCATTTTAAATTATCCACATTGGGAGGGAAAAGATGCTATATTTTCTCACATACAATGCTCACTAGATTAAGATGCACCCCTTGTTTTTGAAGGGTAGAATGAAGGAAAAAAAATCTTTCCTTGTAGTAAGTAAGTGGGTACATCTACACGTGTCCCTATGGCACCTTTATTATTGTGCCATCATTGAGTACTTTCCCAGGGCTCAGGAGTGCAGGAAACCCCCGTACCCTGGGGATCACAGCTGCAGTGATCCCTAGGGCTCAGGAATATGAGAAATCCCTGGACCCTGGGGATTGTGGCTTCTGTGATCCTTACGGCTCCAGGGTGCAGGAAACCCCGAGGGCCAGAGGATTGCAGCAATCCCTCCAGCTAAGGAGTGCATGGGGAATGTAGTTGCAGGAGCTTACTGGTGCAGGGGGAACCCAGCGTCGGGCACTCCCCCTGCACTGGCAATAAGGTGCAGTGGGATCTAATGCACAATCTCACAATTGTGCTTTCTGCCATGGCAGGAGGCATGCTTGTGTGAATCACGCTTTAGATCCTATTGCATCTTTACCTGTGTGTGCATAGGGGGCCTAAATGGCAGAAACTGCTGTTACCATATTTTCTTCTTTATATTGCACACCTCAATTTCTAGCAGCTGTTTTTTTTGGGGAAAAAGTGAATGTTGTGTGCAAGAACATATGATCACTGGACTATAGGAATGGTACATGTTCCAGTATAGGGGGATACCTTACTTTACCTCCCAACTTCCACTATACATATTTGTAAGAGGTGGGGGAAGAAGGCCCTCATTTCCCTCCCTTATCTTGCTCTTTTGCACTAATAATGATCAGCATTTTTGTTGTTCCCAATCAAGCTTTGTAGT